TCCAGCAAACTATTACAGTGTATGAAACAGGCCAAGTTGGCTTTCAGAAGTTCACCTAACCTGCAGGGCTGGTGTTGTCCTTGCCACAACCACCCGGAACACCAACTCAGCCAAAATGCAGCTGGGGGCATTTCTGGATGAAAACTCAGATTTCTTTTCAGTGCAATATTTGGTGAAAAAGGGAAAAACTTGGGGAGGTGCGCATGCCTAATCCTTAGCCAGAGAGATATGGCTAAGAATCTCTTCCCGATCTTGCCATGTAGAAAGTGGCTAGAATGATCCAAGGCCTTTACTCAGCTCCTCACACATGCTAGACAAGCTGAGATTTCCCTTATTTTACTTTCTTTACTCCTTTGATTTGCTGCAGGAAGGACAAATCTGAGTACTAAGTAGATGCATCTTTGCTAAAGGCTGCTTCATTTTCCAAAGTCACATTGTTTTCTCAGATGAAGCATACAGATTTTAATTAGCCTAAAATCAACAGCAGTGTCATATTTGTAGTTTCTCTAAATTTAAAGGAGATACATTTTATAGACATTACATAAAAATGACCTCAGCAACCATTTATGTACAGGAAGCTATGCTCGAAATTTATTTCCAGGATAACCTAATCTTACCCCCAAAAAAGTAAGGTAAAAATTACTGTATGTGTAGACTTTCCAGAAGCTAAAAAACGTGGGATTAAGTCACCTTTTTAAAAAGAATGAAATACTACTATTAGGCACAGCTGACTCTGTTAGTACAACACAGAAATACAGCAAAGAAGAAAGGGAGATTATAATTTAAGTTTCTGTCTATGATTTATGTATTTCAGTTGGTTGAGTTGCATCCTTCCTAATGAATGCAATGAATCATCTAAATCACTTAAATTGAGACTGAGAAATGACAGAGCTGTTTCTCTCCTTACCAGTGCTTTCCTACCACCAAACACTGCATCTTGTTAGGACAAAGACTTCAAGTATTTGCTAACAATACATTAGTTCTCCATTCAACACAGAAAAGAATTAACAACTTGGGTGAGAAGGTTATAACTTTCTATGGGACCAATAATGCCATAAGCTATGGAAACATCAGTTTGTTTCCAATAGTTATCCGTTACTACAGAGTTGAAAAAGGAATAATGCATTGTATAACTATTTTCCATACAGCAGCAAAACCACACTTGAGTTCTTCACACATTCAGAAAAGTTTCAGGTCTACTGAACAGATTCTGCTCTACCCAATAATGTAGCTCTTCAAATGTTGTTTTCTTCTAAAATTGCTATATAACGCCCCTACAATTCATTAGTATGTATTTTTACATTGACATAAGTCAGAGTCTACTAAACTACAGAACTAATTCCACCAGTGGAATAAAAATCATGTCAAGATGGTAATATGTCATCAGTTCTTGATTCTGCTTTTGCACAAGTGTCTGACAGGACAGCAGGAGTCCCCCAAAGTATCAAGCTTACAATGAAAGCGGAACCTCTAAGAACACAGGCACAGGATGACTTCAGATGACCCAATGTATAAATATGAATCAAAAATGGCCTGTTACTAATGCAGCCACTACAGCTGGCTAAAATCAATCTTTGAGTATAACAAAGAGGACAAAGATCATGTGTAAAATATTCCACATATGGCAAAAAAACAGAGGAGATAATAAGAAAACATAAAAAGATAACTGCTTCTAAGAGAAAAAGAACAAAGAAAGGACAGAGTGAGCAGAACTGCTCCAGCATTGCCATCCCCACTCAAGTATACGACACCAGATCAGCTATTTATCCACCCAAGTCCTCCTTCATCTTCAGTGGAGAAAAAGAGGTGGGTTTTGATTTGCCACCCACCATATTTTGCTAATGCAACTCAACAATCATACATAAAGTATTTTATTTTGCTATCTATCTGGGTGAAAGAACAGCATGTGTATGGGTGCATGTTTTCTGCTCCAGCATTCCGATACAGTAAGACTGATAACCGCATCACTGAGTCTGAGTAAACTCAGAGACAGGAACAGACTGAGCATAATATGGAGTGTTTTTTGTCTGGGGGTATTATTTTGACTGATTGTGTATGTGAACAAGAGTCCACGAGACTGAGTAGCACTGTACATCTGTATTGGCATGTATGCTTTGTTCAGATCCTTGCTAAAGCCGAGAATAAAGTAATGATGTTAGACAGCTTCCAGAAATCAGCTTTTAAGAATGCCATTTTGATTCAGCCCTTTCAAAGAAATAAACTATACTTTCAAATCTAGTTTATGTTAACTACAGAATGAGAGAGAGTCTTTGACTGTATGTGACTTTTTTTTTTTAACTCTCAACAGCAGAACTGACAAGTTCCCCCCCCACCTTCGTGATTTTTTTTCTTGTAAGCATTTTTCTTTTTAGTTACGTTGTTTAAAATGCAATGTTGGCAATGAGATATTGCTAGAGGCTTTGGACTGATGCCTTCTGAAGCTTCCACTTTTCCCAACTTTTACTAGCAATAAAGAATTTGTTTCTAGAAACATGTAATTTTAATTACAAAATTACCCCCAAACATAAATGGAATTTAATTGGTTACAAAGTAATATTTTCACATAATCAAGGGATTGTTTGGGGGATTTAAGGCATAATTTATTAGTTCTGGATAAGGTGCACATTTTGATTCCTACAGGCAAATAACAAACTGATTAGTAAGTGTAATAACGCAGTTTATTTGTCTGACAGTTGGCAGCTATAAGTGCAATAACTTACTTGATCAATTGCCATTTTAAAGAACATTAAAGCTTCTCATACTTATGCTATCTGTATGGTATGCAGATGAACAACAATACAGCATTACCCCTATTACACCAGTGATTTAATATGGTGTTTCTGCCAGGTTTTGTACCTTTCTATATAATGCAAAAGGAAGTAATTACTTTTTGTACTGAAAGATTGAAGAATTTACTCCCTTTTAGACATGCAAAGAATTTTACTATAGGAAGAACTAAAGATGATAGCTTCTCTTGATCAATTTTTTTTCTGATATTCAAAATCATGCGTATCAGTTTTGAGAAAGAGTCTAAGCTTTCCAGTCACTTAGTTCTGCAGAATTCTGTAGTTGTCAAGTGAAGATAGCCACCTCTCTCTGGCAGGAAGCTTTTCCTATTTGTTACATAAAACGAAGTTCTTCTCATGTTCCTTAATTCAATTACTTTGTCAGGTAACATCAATAGCTAACAGCTTTTGGAGTCCAGTTCCCTGATAGCCTAGCCTCACTGAATTCAGTGGATCTAAGCCAACACAGGAAGCCACCACAGAGCCAATAAATACCACGCACATTTCAGACAGACATTATACAATGGAAAAGACTATGACAAATGTATAAGATCACCTTTTTGAGATCAAATGATACCTCAGTGATCTAGGTAAGAAAATATTTACCAGTCAGAAGTTCAGATGAACTAGAGTACACTGCCTTGCGAAGGTCAGTGGAGATTGCCTTGGTTCCCTACTGTTTTACTGAAAATGTCTTACACCCAATTAAAAAGAAAACCAGGAAAAAATATTACATTAAAATCACACAAGTTTCAAGAAAAAGTGAACAAGTTAAAAAACTTAAACACAAAGACAAATGAAATGTGATAAACCTTAACATGCAAGACACGTAAACACAAATACATTGAGAAAACAGTTATTCTCATTTCAACTCAACATCAGTACAATTAACCCCATTCTTCTACTACTCTCAAAGAATCTCATTTAAAACAGATTTACAAAGCAGATCTATTTTAAAGTCTTTGGCAGACAATCAATTCTGGAAAGCTATTTTGTGCTATACGAGAAAGGTCAAAAACCTTGTTAAAATTCTAACAGAATTTAAGTTTTAATGACTGGAAACTTATGTTCTGTATCACTGAAAACTATAGAGCAGAGTTTCTATTTATTGCCATTTTTTATTAAGCCAATCTACAAAAGTACAGCCCTACTAGTAAGAAGCTCAATATATTTAGATTTCTAACACAATATTCTGAGAGACCTTACATAATTTAATTTTCATAATGAATATTTTAACAAGTGGTACATTCCCCTTTTACACTACAAGCTTTCAAAAAAAGGTGGAGGAGCGCTAAGGAAATACCACAACTCATTCTTTGGACTCTTTATTCCACTGTCGAAGTTGCGAATTATCTGTCAATTAACTTATGTTTTACCTCATTTCCTGAAAAAGTGGTAGATTTTCCTAGCTTTCTACTACCCAAACAATCTGCTGTCACTAATGACTTCTACCTCAAATCATCTCCTTGAAGTAGAGAAGCATTCTACAATGGAGAACTGAAGTACAAGGTAAAGATAGCAAATTGTACAATAATAACTCTACCATTCTACTTGCATAATACAACTTCTACCAACACTTCCCCTTCACATATCACTTACTTTCTGAGAAATCTTTCAGGTTCCTGTGAATATTCCTAGTCCTCAGATGCAGTGATGACCAGGAGGATCTCCAACCTATGGTTGGAGGCTTACTGCTTCCCCTTTTTCCCAGCAGTTTGCAATGCTTATGGATTCTAGAAAAATTTAGATTAATACAGAGATAGCTCTCTTGCCACTTATTCAGGATTTGCATATAAGTTTGAGATGAAAACACATAAAGTTTGCAAGTCAACCAATGCAGTACTCTCTTTAGCTATTATTAGTAATCACCAGCTGAACTACTCTAGCATTAGGCAAGAATTCTGCATGGACAAAAAGGTAAACTATCATTATGTAATATACCTTTCAACTAACAAATTGCTGATTAATTCAATCTCTTACTGATAGTCTCTATGACAATAATTATTCCCCATAGCAAATAACGCATGCAGCATTTAAAAATGTCTCCCTCTCCCATCTGACCTCTCTGTATAACAGGGATTCTGAATCTGTTCTACTTAAAAATCAAGATAATACATTAATAAAATTGCTAGGAAAATCCTTATTTATCAATTATGATTTTACACTGTACAGTATAAAAAACACTTCAGAGTTGCATTGCTGTATAGTACATACCCCATGTTCTTTAGCAGCCATAACCACTTTTGAAAGAATATCTTCTTCAACAAATGGCCTCACAGCATCATGGATAATCACTACTTCTGGTTTCTGGAGCAGATGGTTGGAAAATTCATTCTCTGCAAATACTTTCAGTCCATTGAAAATTGACCGATGACGAGTTATTCCACCTTTTACTATCGTAACTCTTTTGTGGCCATATCTTTCAATGATAGACTTCATTATTTCAATATTTTCAGGAGAGACCACCACAATAATGTCGGCTATCCAACTTATCCTAGAAGAAACAGCACAAAACCAGAGAAAGTAGATATGAATGACTAAATAAAAGTACAGATATCTCCATGAAACAAAGAAATTAATATAAAAAGAAATTCAAGCTGGCTGAATAAAGCATTTCGCAATATACTCAAGTCCATGTTTTTGTGTGTGTATTAGCACTCCACCCCTAAAGGGAGAGCTACGTGAGAGGATCTCTACCAATACATGGATGTTGACCAAAATAACTGGAATTCTGGGAAGGGACTTGCTTCCAACAACCAGTTTGCAGAAGGAAAAGAAAAAAAAAAAGCGCACCTTCTGATAACCCTTCGAAAAGCCTTCAAAACATTTCTTACTCCAGCCTCATTCCTAACTTCGAACACAACTTCTAAATCAATAGGCTACAGTCTGTTATTTTAGCCTTCTCTAAATGCAGTCTCCAATAAATTGGTAAATCCTGGGACCTGGAATACTCCATGTTCTACTCTGCAGTACACTGTGTTCAAGTGAATAAGAGGATCAAGAAAAATTCTGAAACAAAGATCACAATGTAAAACCATAGCTATGCTAGGTAAAATTACCATAATATGAAAAGTATATTGTTAGAGAACTTCAAGCTTTTACTGTTGGTATCAGCCTAGCTCTACAATTGAGGGGTGGTGTGGGGGGAGAATGACCCACAATTCACAAGATTAAAACCAGTCATAAATGAAGTTAGGCTGAAGTCATACTTGTGTCAAAGGACCTAGGAATACAAACTATAGTCACATGTGGCATACTGTACTTCAAAATAATAGAAATACCATAATTGAAATCCAACTATTTGAGTGCCTTATTTCCTAAACACTATCTAGAGAGCATAAAAAAGGATTTAAAATTGTTTTATTTCCTTTCTGTGTCTCCACAGATGACAGGAGGGTTTTTTTAGCATGACAGACAAGAAACTCATCAGATGAGCAATGATTACAAAAACAGTTTACTATTTACTATAGTAAAATTACTCATGTGTAGCCTACATATCCAGCTAGGAAGGGAGACAGACAAGTATGGTATATTCTGTCAACTAAAACTAGTAAAACTATTGAATTGAAACCAATTTTGCAGACACAAGACAAAGGTACTAAATACTTCCAGTTGGAAAAACGAGAGTAAGAAATATACAGTTCAGAAATATGCAGGCTCAAGGTATTCGTTTCTGCAATAACTCATGAGAAGGCATTGCCTAGGAACTATTCTTACTCCAAAAGCAGTCATCTGTGATACAAACCAATCCCCTAGAACTATGTGAAACAACAGAGCATCTTCCACCTTCTGTATGTTTTTTTTGTAATTAATAGAACTCCATGGAAAATTATTTCAATGAATTTTAAAATAACTATTAAAAATAAAATAAATGGAAGTGCTATTAGCATTCTTCAAAAGAAAAATATTTGTCCTTATGTTCATTATATTATTAACAAAGGGAGAAAATACAGCCAAACCAACATATTCTCAGCATTTTTTTAAGTATTGAAGTTGTTCAAATGTAAAATCTGAAGTCATATGGTTTCAAGTTTCATTTCAACTTGTCACTCACCACAGGTTCATGAAAAGGTTTTCAAATTAGTCCTGGCATAGTCCTATATTTAGCCACAAAACTTAGCACCTCTGTATGACTTCAACTCACAACTAGGGCAAACTAATTGGATTCATCTCGGTTCTTCTTTTGAATATTGAGAGCCAGTCATTTAAATAAAGCAAAATTTTGGAAGAGCTATTTCACACTAAATAAGAGCTCTGCACTTCTATTTGCAGAAAGACTATAGCCTTACACAGTTCCCAGAAACAGTGGACAGTCTGCACATTCACTGGTGACTGTGTAAGAAGAGCACTGACATTTCCCATTCTGGAGTCAAAGGAAACAGATGATGAGGCAACTCGGTAGTATACAGCATCTTCTGAGAAGAAGGGAAGAGAACAGAAGCACTGGCCAGCCTATGATAAATCTCTGCACAGGCAGGGTGGAATGGCTCAAGGCCTTCAGTGATAGAATACACCAAAAAGTGACAGGATGCGGTCACAGCTCCACCCTGTGTCTGGATAAACACATTTATAAACTTGAGTATGTCCTCCTTAAACTCATTCTGGACTAATGTCTATAATTAGAGCTGGGATTTAGAGATGCAAACTATTCATGTAAGAGTATAAAGGTATCCTCTAGACTGATTAGGTCCAAGAACAGCTTAGGCTTTGAAGCCTAACATGTCCCACCAAAACTCATGAAAAGTACTAATTCAGTAAAGTATATGACAAATTCTCATGAATGAGAACTGTGCACCACACAGGTGCTTACTCTTTTAAAGACCTGCTTATGGCAATGTTTCAAAGGGTTTTAATGAAGTAGAAAGATATCAATATACACTCAATCTGGCAGTAAATGGATCTTTTTTTTTTTCCTCCCTCAATTTGTCACCCCCTTTTCTTCAGAAAGATTTCATACTAAAATAATAAGAAGCTCAGGACCTGCTCGAAACAAGTTTAAAAATAGTAAACACCTGTGCCGGTTTTGTCTGTGACAGAGTTAATTTTCTTGATAGTAGCTAGTGCAGGGCTATGTTTCGGATTTGTGCTGAAATAGTGTTGATAACACAGGGATGTTTTAGTTACTGCTGAGCAGTGCTCACACACAGCCAAGGCCTTTTCTGCTCCTCACCCCACCCCACCAGCAAGGAGGCTGGGGGAGCACAAGAAGTTGGGAGGGGACATAACCAGGACAGCTGACCCCAGCTGACCAAAGGCATATCCCAGACCATATGGCATCATGCCCAGTATATAAACTGGGGGGACCTTCAGAGTGATGGTGTTTCTCTTCCCAAGTAACCATTACGCGTGATGGAGCCCTGCTTTCCTGGAGATGGCTGAACACCTGCCTGCCAATGGGAAGCGGTGAATGAATTCCCTGTTTTCCTTTGCTTGTGTGCACGGCTTTTGCTTTACCTATTAAACTGTCTTTATCTCAACCCACGAGCTTTCACACTTTTACTCTTCTGATTCTCTCCCTCATCCCACTGGGGGGGGGGGGTGGGGGGGTGGGGATGGGGAGTGAGCGAGCAGCTGTGTGGTGTTTAGTTGCCAGCTAGGGTTAAACCACAACAACACCCTTTCGATTTTATAACTGTAATATTAGATGAAGATAATGCAAGCTTCAGAAAGAATCAGCACAAGGCATGAAAAATACTGTACCCCAATGTGCTTTAACAAGCACTAAATACAGAACTCTAGTGCTTCCATAGAACATAGGCTGTAGTTCTAAAGCGGAAAATCAGGTCTGATCAAATGAAACAAAAGTAACCTCAGTTGTAATCACTCTACAACTGCCTTGGGAAGACCTCAGTATTAGTAGAAGGAAAACAATGAGGCAGAAAAGGACTACATGTTTGTTTCCTGTAGCTGTCCTCATCATTACCTACAGACAGGCAGACCAGCTGCCTAGTAGAAAATAGCATTGTTTTATTAAATTTCAAACAAAAGTACATACATTTATATTAGCTGAGCTAGAACTCAAAGTAAGGAGCTCATTAACTCAGTAACAGATTAAGCTATTAAATAACTTAGATGGCAGAGGAAATGAAATAACCCATGAGTTATGCTCTGAGACTGTACCACCTAAATGGCATGCTCAGGTACAAACGTGAATGAGGTTAACCCTCTATCCGTTCACTTACATACAAACCAGTGCTGAGCCCGAAATCTGACATAAGGCTTAAATACTCACACTTAGTTTCTTGCAACTCTTACTCAGACTAGTAACAATCTATTTAACATATAACCTACTGAAATCAGCAGTTGTACCAGCAAAACAAGGCCAGAACCAGGCAGTCACTGCTGAGATGGCTTCAGTAGTGTAAGACATGATCTTTCACTGCCACAGAAACTCTTCAGAGGTACAAAATAAATCATTATATTACTTTTGCTGATCTTATTATTCAAGCACCAAACGAGAAAAGAACTGTCAAGAACAAAATGCATTTGTAGAATGCAAGCATAACTTCCTTTTGCTCCATAACAGTTTTGTTATGACTTTATTGATATATGAATACATATGTATCTTATACATTACAAAAGTAGACCCAGGGAGCTTTTAAGTCTGAAAAGCTTCACAGGTACATTAAGAAAGTTTTAAGCATCTCACGTACAGAAGCCATTCATTTTTTTCCTGAAAGATGATGTTCCTTATTAGTCAGACAAGATAACAAAGATACCTTCATAAAGTTAAAACAATTGGATTGTTTGCTATGATTATTTTTAGCTCATAAGCAATATCAACAACAAGCTAATGCTAACTGGACAAAAAGAACTACCACAATAGATACATTTAACAAAACTGTAATTGTGTGACCTGTAGAGGTAGTGAACATGCATCAGTCAATGGGGAAAAATACCTGGCAAATAAACTACACAAGACACTTCCGAAGAGGCAATTCTTTGGAAGCTTCCCCCAGGTGATGTTTTTTTTATATCAGGCCACCTGTTTTAAGAGACTACATTACAGTAAACAAAGTAAACAAAGCTGTCTGAAACCTTTATGGAAAATTTTTATTCTGCCAGTAAACATATTAACTCTGCTTTCCTCTTTCATAACTTCTCACTGTACTTTCAACAACTGGTGGAATATGAGCACAGCAAGAATAGCAGCAGTTTATTTGTCCCACAATGATTTTAAAAATCAACCTTTACCTTGGTCTGTTTTCCTCTCTACAGCTTTAGTAAAATATGTGTGCACATGTACACAGAGCTGAGATTTCTCCATCTTAGAAAAGGAACTGGAAAGGTTCTATTCTAAACAAACATACACAAAAAAAAAATAAAATTAAGGAAGAACCCTACTAGTTTGCACAGAAGCAAAAAGGAGGAATGCCATTCTAGTTCTGTTGAACTTGATGCAAAAGCCTTGCATAGGTCAACAAAAGCAGAAACAAATTCAATGAGAAAAACCAGACATTTAAGTACTGTAACACATGTTAATTTTAGCCCCAGGATAGGACCTGACCTTCCTATCTGTGCCACTGTACTGGCAATAAAAACCAATCATTTCTCCTCACCCTATTTTTTTTCTCACCTTCTCTTCCTAAGGGCATCATCTTTGATTATTATTGGCAGGCCAACGTTCTACATACTGTCATCCTATGCAACAGGATGCACTGCTTATTCATTCATGTCTGCTCTTGTCTTGTCTGCCAGTTTTTCCACATCAATATTTAAAATTCTCACTACTTTCAGCTGAACAGTGTAAAAATCTTTTTATCCTCATTTTTAAAAAGCACATGCAAAGCAGCTGCAAATTCTTGATTTGCTCATGTATTTCTGTCTATATGTTGCTACATATTTTCCAGATTAAAAAAAGCTCAAAACCAGCTGCATTAGCTGAGATAACCAGTTCAATATAAGTTATTACAGGTTAATGAGTCAATGATTCATTCAATTAGAGCAGATAAACAATAGACATCAGAAGATAGTATCAAGCTAAACACAGAAAATCTGCCACTTCTGGGTGATATATATGACAAACTGCAGTTCCTCAACATTACATTTTTGCGCGTACATTCGCACAAAAAAGAACAAGGTACCTCCTTTGCAGTTTCAGAGTCAGAAGTGTTGAGATGAAAATGAAAGCCATTCCAAGCTTTAGAGTACATCTGTTCCCAACTCCCCATACACATACATACCAACCAACACTCCAATTCAGTACAGAGATGGTAGAAAGCTCTGCCTGTGAGAGCACTGGCACCAGTTATTGCACTTCTAAATTTAAGCGGAAGCACTAGGTTGTTACTCTCACAATCAACTTGGGATCACGCGCCTGGTTGGACTGTACAATTAGAATTCAACCTTCTAATTTTCTGCAGCTTTAGGACATAAATATAATACTGTTGCTCAAATAACTGTTATTTTCCCAGAGCTTACTGGCAGCAAAAATGAAAGATTTTTTTTTTAAATGAATAATGTTTTATTTTCCTATGAATATCATTTCCTCCCCAAACCTCACTCTGTTCTCTTTTCCAGGTCTCCAATACACTAAGTGAGGATATTATTCTTCTCTGTAGATTCCCATGACATTTTGGCAGAAATTACAGCTATGACAAGCTTTGGATTGGAGGTTTTGCTCAGTGATGTGTTTAGCTTTGTGACTGGCTGTTGAAAACTAAATAAAGAAAACAAGCAATATTTCTTTCATAAAGTAACAAGTGACCTGAGGGAAGCTTCTCTGGGTGGTAATGGAAAAAGAGTCCCAATTCTGATGTTGTACAAGTTTCCATCAGTTAAGAACTTTGGGAGATGTTGGCAATTCCATTTCTTTTCACTACCCTCCACGCCTCCCATTTATTCTCTCTAAAATCTAAAGGTTTGCTTTTCTACAAGTTACTGCAAAACATCCAGATCTGACACTCCACTCCTACTTGCAGTGTTTCAAATGACACTAGATACAAGACTTACATTATGTTAACATTTGACAATAATATATTAACTGTCAGTCACATGCCTAGAACTCAACGGTCTTATGAAAAGGAAAAACCCGACTGCTAAGATATCCTATTACTTAAATTCTTTGCTCCAATGTAAACAAAGAAAATTTACGCATGCCACTAACGCGAGCTATCAGCTTCTAGCCCAGTAACCATATCTTAAACAAAACCAAGGGGGCATTTAAGCTTCTTGCTGCAGCGGGGCGTTTCACCATGGACTATAACGGCGAAGCCTAAGGCAGCGCTGTAGACCACCGAGTTCACCCCGCTATGAAGAGTGGATTCTTGTTCGAGGCCTCTGGACACCATTAAGACCGCCTCCGATGGCCACGGCCGACTAGATCTTTCTTTCGGGGCCTCCGGATAGTATTATGACTGTCTCCAACGGCTACGGCGGGCATGTAGCTCACCAAACCAGCCACTGCAGCTACAGAAACCCTCGAGCTTCGAGGCCGAGGGCCTCGAACAGGTCTCCAGCAGTCATGGAAAGCGACACAGCTTCAAGGCGCCGGCGGCGCTGGGGAAGGAGGAGAGCCGCCGGGGGCGGCGGTGACAGAGCCAGGCTGGGACGGGGGAGAGCGCCCAGCTCCCGCCCGGTGCCTCTCCCCAGCCGAGCCTGCCCAGTCACAGCCGAGAGCACCCCGGGTCCGCACCGGGCCTACGCGCTCCCGGCCGCCCTGTCGCTTATCGCCCGTTGACTGGGCGCGGCGGGAAGGAGATCCCCCCCCGCAACGCAGAACCAAACCCTCCGAGGGGCGGCCGCGCCGGGGGGCGCCCGGGGCCGGAGGCGAGGGCGGCGGGC